TACCCGCCTGCTCCTCCTGCTTGCCGCTCAGCCAGGAGCTGAAGTTGTCCACCTGCGGGCAGGCAGGGCAGGGCAGGGCAGGGCAGGGCAGGGCAGGGCAGGCAGGGAGGGAAGGCAGGGGTGAGGGGGCGGCAAGGGTGGGCACGGGAGCGGGCAGGCGCGCCCGGCCTGCAGCACCGCGGTGCCGCCAGCGGCTCGGCTGGCCAGCAGGCAGGCAGGCAGGAAGTCGGGGCTTGGGGTGGGGCCAAGGGCGAAGGGGGCAGCCGGGGTGGCGGCGGCAAGCAGGGCGCGCATGTGGCGTGGGCAGCGCGCACGGCGTGGGCGGCGCGGGCAGCGTGCGCAACATGGGCAGCGTGCGGCGTGGGCAGCGTGGGCAGCGTGGAGCCCACCACCTTGGCCACCAGCGCTGCGATGTCGGAGGCGTTGAGCCAGGGCTTGATGTCGGGCCAGCTGTTGGCCGCCTTGCGCGCCAGATCCACAAAGTCGCCAGCGAGGCGCAGCACCCGCGGCCGAGCCGCCGCCTCGGCCGCGCGCTCAAACAGGCGGTCGCCCACCAGGCGCAGCTTGCGCAGCTGGGCCCTGCGGCAGCAGGGGGGCGCGCGCGTGTGGCGTGTGTGCCGGGGGGCAGGAGGGGGGAGCAGGTGCAGCGCGCAGTCACACCGGCAACTAAACATTACGTACATCCCCCCCCACACACACCAGCACACCCTCTCACCTGTACTCTTCAGCCCCCACCGCCTCGCCGTCGCCATACAGCCAGTCCTCCACCTCTGCCAGCTGGGCCAAGAACGCCTCGCGCTGCGCCTCGGTGCTCACCCCAGCCACCTCCTCCCCGCCCTCCACCTGCGGCCAAGGGGGCCGGCAGGCGCGCCGGTGAGCGTCGGGCACCCCGCCAGCGCAGGGTGCCAGTGCTGGGCCCCCAGCCCCGGCCTCGCCCCAGCCAGCTGCTCCAGCCGGAACCAAGGGCAGGCGGCCCGCCCCACCCATCCCCCGCTGCCCACCCACATCTCCACACCAGCAGCACCTGCACCTGCACCAGCACCCCCACATCCCACCAGCACACCAGCACCACCAACCACCACCAGCCGCCACCACACCCCACCACCAGCACACACACACACATACACCCCACCCTGACCCACCTTGTCCCGCGTGCCGATGACGTACGACTCGAGATCGTTGCGCGCCTTGGCCGTCTCGCGCTTGGCCTGGTCGGCGGCGCGAAGGCGGCGCAGCACGCCGCGGGACGCCTGCAGGGGCGGGCAAGGGGCAGCAGGGGAGGGGAGGGTGGCGGGGAGGGGGATGCGGGGGCGAGGCGGGGGGTGG